TTGTAGTGATATAAGGATAGAAAAGTTTCACATTGACAACAACATAGCTTACCCCTTAACTAAACATTTGTCATAATAAAAACATGAAGCCTTTGTTCGATCATCGGGCATAAGGGGCATGGCTGGTTGGCTCAAGTGTAAGTGGGAGATTGTTAGCGTAAGTGCCCGAGATGCAACCTTGTTTCGATGGTTTGACTTATTGTAATATTGCATTCTTTATTTTATAAATAAAAAAATATTTTAATTAATTTTTATTGTTTATATTTTGATAGAATTAGATAAAAGTCCATATGATATGCATTGTATTATTAATTGATTAAAAGATGTGAGACAAATATTAATGTACTTAAATGAATGATATCATTGAATGTATCAAGCCATAACATGATCAAGAATAGACATTGACTATATGTGATAAGAATTGTGAGTGTTATGCTTATGTTAGTGCATTTTGGGTTAAAATTTATAAGTAAAGTCTGGACCTATTAACTATTTAATAAGCTTCTATTATGAAAACCATAATAAATAATACATACTTCAAGTAGCTTGTGGATACAAATGAAATCATCATAAGAAGTTTGAATGCGATGATCATGAATCCACCTTAGTTGATCATCAAAGGATGTAATAAGTACGCTCTAGTTCAAGAAAAAGCAAAAACAGAGAAAATTTTCCTCAATTTTTTATTCAATATTATTTGACAAAACTTGTTACAAAGAAACAAAAAGCTTGCTTAAATAGTAGTAGGCGGTTTCGACTAGAGTTAGTAAAGCTTGTTCGTTAGATTACAAAAACTAGCCATGATCGAAACACTAAAAAGAAAAATAACTCTAAACCTAAATCGACTCTTATTTAATATTAAATTAGACTTTAACTTAAAGTGTTCATATTAAATAAGGATTCACAAAATTTAAGGACTCTTAATAAAATAAAGATTCAAAACAAACAAGAATTCAAACTCAAATATTCATAGGCCTATTTGACCAAACTAGGAATCCAACAACGAGAATTATTTACTTAGCCTAAATTCATAAATAAAAATAACTCAAAAATAAATAATCTTTCAACCCAAAATAGGTACTAATTAACACATAAAACATAAAAATAAAGAGATAAAAGGCTCGAATGTTTCAGCCATAGAACTTGGACACATTTGGTCATGTGTTGAAGAGACACTCTTATGTCAAATGTCATTAACTCCACCACCATCACCGTTGCCTTTATAACCTTTGCAAATATGCAATGAAAATCTTGATGACCATTGTATTACGGTCATCTCTATTATATCATTATCACCCACTACAATGATCAATGTTCACCAATAAAATGATAATCATTATTAATTTGATATCATTATAACCATTAAGATCATTATTAACATCTTACCATTATCATTACTATCACACCTACCTTTGTCAATATATATATATATATATATATATATATATATATATATATATATATATATATATATATATATATAGTTTTCAAAAAAAATAAATAAATAATAAAGTGCTTTTGATTTTCTAAAGAAAAAAAAATGATACCAATATATGACATTTTTATTTCTTAAAAACACAACAAATTTTAGAGTTTGAGGACAAATTCGAGAGAAATTTTATAATACTCAATGAGTAACTAGTGTGCATGTATAATAGTTACTTCATTAGTCCATTTTTGAGAAAAGAGATAGACACACACATAAAAAAAAAAAAGAATCACTTTCGGATCCATCAAAAGTGATAAAAAAATTTTCAAGTTGACTCAAATTTTTTTTTTAATTTTTTCTCTTTTTTATGTCTATCCTTTTTATAAACTAACGCATACTTGATTATTTTTTTAGTATTATAAAATTTCTCTAAATTCAAAGTAAGAGATGAAAGAGGGAAATGGGAATGACATGTATTGGGTTCTTGGTTAGTTGGAGCTTGGTAGTCTTTGTTATTCTACATGAAGATAGCTAAACTATTTTTTGGCTATAGTATTATCTTGTTACAATCTATAAAAATTAAGTATTCAAGAATTTCTTTATGTATGACATGGGAGAGAAGCCTATATTCTAAGAATGAAGATCTATAGAGATAGATCACGTATAATGTGAGGGCTCTCTCAAGACAAATACATTGACATGATACTAAAAGGTTTAACATAGAAGAATCAAAGAAAGGATTTCTTCTAATTTCAAATGGCTTGATGACCGACTACAAAGGATCCATAGTGCAAGCTAAGGAACCAAGGTCTCATTAACGGTCCAAGCATGTATTATAACGCTACCACCTAATTAGAGAGATTATAAGTCGTGGTGATATAAGGATAGAAAAGTTTCACATTGACAACAATATAGCTGATCCATTAACTAAGCCTTTATCATAGTAGAAATATGAGACCTTTGTTTGATCATCAAGCATAAGGGCTATGACTGGTTGACTTTAGTGCAAGTGAGAGATTGTTAGTGTAGGTGCATAAGATCCAACCTTGTTTGGAGGTTTGACTTATTGTAATATTGTATTCTTTATTTTATTAATAAAAAATCTTTCTATTAATTCTTGTTGTTTATATTTTGATAGAATTAGATAAAAGTTCATATGATATGTATTGCATTAATGATTGATCAAAAGATGTGAAAAAAATGTTAATGCACTTAAATGAATGATACCATTAAATGTCTCAAGTCATAGCATTATCAAGAAGGACATTGACTCTATGCGATCAAACTTGTGAGTGTTATGCTTAAGCTAGTGCATTTTGGGCTGAAATTTATAAGTAAAGTCTGGACTTATTAACTTTTTAATAGGCTTCTATTATGAAAACCATAATAAATAATACGGAAGAAGGATGTAGTGCCTTGTGTCTTACATTCATTATGGGCACGACGCAAATATCCTCAACCTATTTAGCTCTTAGGTCGGAGGTGTTACGAGTACAAGTCCAATAATCTCCTTTTATGATAACCATCACCTTAAAGAAAATTAGTGCACTTACAAAATACATACGTCAAGTAGCTTGCGGATACAAATGACACCACTATAAGAAGTTTAAATGTGATGATCAAGAATCCACCTTAATTGATCACTCTAAGGATATAATAAGCATGCTTTAGTTCAAGAAAATGCAAAAACGAGAGAAAATTCTCCTTAATTTTTTATTCAATATTATTTGAAAAAACTCGTTACAAAGAAACAAAAGTCTTGCTTAAATAGTAGTAGGTACTTTCGACTAGGGTTAGTAAAGCTTTTTCTACAAAAACTAGCCTTGATCAAAACACTAAAAAGAAAAATAACTCTAGACCTAAATCGACTTTTATTTAATATTAAATTAGACTTTAACTTAAAGTGTTCATATTAAATAAGGATTCACAAAATTTAAGGACTCTTAGTAAAATAAAGATCCAAAACAAACAAGAATTCAAACTCAAATATTCATAGGCCTATTTGACCAAACTAGGAATCCAACGAGTGAGGATTATTTAATTAGCCCAAATTTATACAACAAAATAACTCAAAAATAAATAATTTTCAACCCAAAATTGGGACTAATTAACCCATAAAACATAAAAATAAAGAGATAAAAGGCTCGAATGTTTCGGCCATAGAATTTGGACACATTTGGTCATGTGTTGAGGAGACACTCTTGTGTCAAATTTCATTAATTCATCAACATCACTGTTGCCTTTATAAGCTTTGCAAATATACAATGAAAATCTTTGTGATGAACATTGTATTACGATCATATCTATTATATCTTTATCACCCACTACAATGATCAATGTTCACCAATAAAATGACAATCACTATCAATTTGATATCATTATAACCTTTAAGATCATTATTGACATCTTACCATATCATTGCTATCACTATCTACCTTTGTTAAAAAAAGTTAGTTTTCAAAAAAAATAAAAAAATAAAAAAAATAAACAATAAATAAGAAAGTGTTTTCTATTTTCTAAAGAAAAAGAAGAAGAAGAAGAAATGATACCAATATATGACATTTTTATTTCTAAAAAACACAACAAATTTAGAATTTGAGGACAAATTCGAGAGAAATTTTATAATACTCAATAAGTGATTAGTATGCATGTACAATATTTACTCAATGAGTTATTAGTATGCATGTATAATAGTTACTCAATTAGTTTATTTTTGAAAAAAGAGGTAGAAAAAAATAGAATTACTTTTAGATCTATCAAAAGTGATAAAAAGATTTTTACATTGACTCAATTTTTTTTTATTTCTTTCTCTTTTTTATGTCTATTTTTTTATAAAATAATTTATAATGATTTTTTTTTAGTATTATAAAATTTCTCTAAATTCGAAACAAGAGATGAAAAAGGTAAATGGAAATGAAATGTATCGGGTTCTTGGTTCCAACTTGATTTTCATATTTATGTGGTCATTTCGATAATTTTGCAATTTATTTTTACATCCCAATTTTGAATTTCAAATTTGAGGAAAACACCTTTCAAAATTAACCAATCATCATTGTTAGTAGCCCCCACCCAAAACAGGTCTCCATTATAAATAAGATATGTGGATGACATATAAGAATGTGCACAGCAATAATTGCATGCGTTGCGTCATAGAAACTAGTCCTGGTATTCCGATTAAGCATTATTGAATAAAAAATTCTATTAATCATACAATATTATGGAAATAAAACTCTATGTTCGTAGAAAAACATGTGATTCTTATCAAAGTTTTTTTAAAAAAAAAAGAAGATATTTTCATTAAATTTGTGATAATCACTTGATTGATTGATTAATGTAGTTATTTTTGTGTTATGTCCAAGTGTTTAATTGGTTTTTAGTTTTACGAACAATCTATAAGTGTCCAGATTCCAAAGAGGCTCATGGAGTCAAATTTATTTTTCGACGGCAACAAGTAGCAGTCCCATTCTCGGAGAGACAGAAAAGAAAACACACAAAAACATAAAACAGAACATAGATTAGATCGCCAAGTAAACATAGTTAGTGCCGATACGTGTCTGGCTTCTCCGCCCTGATGCGCTTTCGGTTTCCTCTATATCAGCCCCTCCTCTCGTCCTTTTCTCTTCTACCCACCACCAATAACACCACCACGCTAATTCTCTCTCGCTTTCAGTCTTTTTGTGTCTCTTCCTCTTCTTTCTTCATGGCTCCTCCTGCTGCCATGGAAGAAATTGCACCAGCTAATAACTCTCTCTCCAATGTTAATGATGGTGATGCTGCCTCACAAATATCTAGAGTCACTGTTGTTGGGAGTGGCAATTGGGGTAGTGTTGCTGCTAAGCTCATTGCTTCTAACACCCTCAAGCTTGATTCTTTTCATGGTATGCTTTAAATAAATATTTATGTTTCTTTCTATTTTATGTATTTTGTTCTCATATATTTTGCTTTTTTTTTTTTTTTTTTTTTTAATGCACTTTAGGTTGGCCTTTAGTTTTTTTACTTTCTTTAATTGTGTCAATGATCATAACATTCATTTTTCTTGTAATTAAATCTGTGTTGTACATAACAACAACAATGTATCTGGTTGAAAATGTACAAATCTGGTAGTTTATGATTTTGCATGATTTCAAATGGAGCTTTTTCAATATGAAAATTTTTTACGGAATGCAGATGAAGTGAGGATGTGGGTGTTTGAGGAGACATTGCCCAGTGGTGAGAAGCTCACCGAGGTTATCAACAAAACCAATGTAAGACTCTGATGGCCGCCTCTACTGCATCCATTGTTTTGTAATCCTTTTGTTTTCTTGAATAGGAAAATGTAAAATATCTCCCTGGCATAAAGCTTGGCAAAAATGTTGTTGCGGACCCTGACCTTGAAAATGCCGGTACTCAAATTTCTTGCTTTCTTCATGGTTGCATGTTACACATTGTTGTTGGACATTTGATCACAATTTTTTAAGATTCAATGGGGGAATTATACAGTGCGGGATGCAAACATGTTGGTATTTGTGACCCCACATCAGTTCATGGAGGGTATATGCAAGAGACTTGTCGGAAAGATAAGGGAAGATGTGGAGGCTATTTCACTTATCAAAGGCATGGAGGTCAAGATGGAAGGTCCACAGATGATTTCCACTCTCATCTCTGAGCAGCTTGGGGTTAATTGCTGTGTCCTGATGGGAGCAAACATTGCAAATGAGGTTATTAATCATTTTTTTTTTAACCTTTTCAGAGGATTCTATGTGCTTTCCCTGTTATTTTTCTAAATAATTGGAGACTCTTTGGTACAGATTGCTGTTGAGAAATTCAGTGAAGCAACAGTTGGATACAGAGAAAACAGAGAGGTTGCAGATAAATGGGTTCAGTTATTTAGAACTCCTTATTTCATGATCACACCTGTGAGTATGATAAATGTATTCATTTTGTGATGTCTGCCAGTTTTATGGAGGCAGGTTATTGTTATAATCAGTCCAGATAGGACTATTGATCAGCATAATCACCGAATTGTCCTAGCATTTGTTGGGATTGTTTGATACGTAAGACTGAAATTGAAAATCGCTTTGTTCTCATCTTTAATGTTTAGGTTCAAGATGTGGAGGGAGTTGAACTATGTGGGACCTTAAAGAATGTTGTGGCCTTAGCAGCAGGTTTCTAGGACCTATTCTTTTTTTCCAGTTTTAATCTGTGTTTTATTTATTTATTTATATATGAATGATACAACAGGTTTTGTGGACGGTCTGGAAATGGGAAATAACACAAAGGTACGTCCAAACATTTTTCCTATGTTTTAAACTCATTATCATTTGTCTTCTTTTTCATCTTAAACTGTTTGTATGTAAATTAGGCAGCAATAATGAGAATTGGTTTAAGGGAGATGAGAGCCTTTTCCAAGTTACTGTTTTCCTCTGTTAAGGACAGCACATTCTTTGAAAGCTGCGGTGTAGCTGATCTCATCACCACATGCTGTAAGAAAGTATATTGATTTATTCAATCATTCTCTAGTATAATTTAACTTTGATAATAATTGTACCATCTGTGGCAGTGGGAGGAAGAAACAGGAAAGTTGCGGAGGCTTTTGCTAAGAATGGTGGAAAAAGGTTTACGTTCGCTAATTGGTGCATGAAACTTTGTTGAATGTTAAGGTATTTAATCTTAATCATGCTGATTTTCATCTGCAGGTCCTTTGATGAGCTTGAAGCAGAGATGTTGCAGGGCCAGAAGTTACAGGTACATAACAAATATAGTTGATAGAAACGACTGCAAAAACGTTTCCTTAGTAGATAAGCAAAAATAAGCAGAAATGGTTTGTATGTATATAAAGGTAGGGGCTTCCGGATCCCTTTCGACCTTCCCTATCTTATCACACAGATTTGCCACTAAAAAACAAAAGATCAAATAAAACACTTTTCAATCCTGTAATTTGTGACTAGAAATAAAATGCTTGACTAGAAACAACAGCATTATGACCCATTTTAGATGCTGTAAATTGCAAAATATGAGCAGTCATTTCAGTTCGTGTGCACAGTCGAAATCCCAAATGGAAAATAGAACTTCCATCAAATGTCATATTAATGGACAAGATATAACAAATAGAACCTCCATCAAATGTCATATTAATGGACAAGCTATATAAAAAAGGAAGTGGCTTACTCATATTTCATTTCTTGAAAAAGGCATATCCTCCCTAGTATTCAAGCAAAAGAAGAGTAGTTGTGTAGATTTTGGACACTTTAAAAAATCAAGTTATCACAGCTAAGTATCATGTTGATTGTGGTTGGGTTTCCTATCATCTAACTAATCTTCTTCTCTTTCCTGAAGGGTGTCTCAACTGCAAGAGAAGTTTATGAAGTTTTAAGGCACCGTGGATGGCTAGAGCTGTTTCCACTTTTTGCAACAGTGCATGACATCTCCATTGGACGTCTTCCACCATCAGCCATAGTGGAATATAGCGAACACAAGCCTAACTTCTCCCTGGTAGAAGGCTCTGCTCAATACTTCAGCTCTTTCTGAGATCACGAATACTGTATTTTACTATTTCAGGTATAATATAGTTACAGGTGCTTTTCTTTAAGTTGTGCATCATGCACAGAAGATAAGACCTGGTAGAATTTTGAAGTTTGGTTTGCTAGTTCCTGCAAAGTTTGCTTTCTATCACGACAATATGCTTTTGCAGGGCTAAATTTCTGCATTGCAGGAATTATCGATGTATCGTATTTCAAGTGGAAGGCAGTTAAAATTAACACTTCTTCGAAGCTAATGATACAAATAGTATTGTTTTTATCCATGTATTCAACACTGAAAGTTTGTTCATTTGTTGTTTAGTAGATAGCTATGATGTAGTGGTGACGCAGAACACAATAATAACTCCAAATGTTTGAAGTATCTCAACACAATACAGATCATACAATAAAGGAGAGCTTTTGCTTTTTTGAGTTATGACTCAAAAGTCTTTTTGTTCATATGATGGATTCATGCATCGTGTCTCCTGGACCTTGTCTGAGGTTCACATTATTACAAATTTACAATGATTCAGATTAGCGTGGCATTATCCTAGAAACTAAGGGAATATGTAGGTGTCCGTCTATGCCTGTAAGAAGTGAATAGTAGTATAGAATAATAATATAGATGCTATTAGCCAGATGCTCGTGCTACGCTACTGGTGTGGTAGAATTAACTTATTTTAAAATTTTAAAATACTATAATTATAATTTTTTATTTAATTAATTTTTTCTAATGTGTTTTATAAATTCTTTTGCTTAAAAAAATATAAATCATTCTTCTTTATGGATGAAAAAAAAATCTTCTCATTAGAATTAAAAAAACTTTTAAAATATATTTTTCATAATATTGTATTCCAAAAAATAAATTTATAATTAATAGATAGACTTTTATAAAAACTAACAAATGGAAAAAAAAAATTCTTATTGAATGCTAATGGGAAGATTAATTTTTGAAATTATCATCGCAACGCTATGGTAGATAAAACAAAATCATTTCAAAATTTTATAATTTTTTAATAATTTTTTATTTAATTATCACTATTTTTTGTGTTTTACTAAAATTTCTGCTTAAAAAACATGATTTATTTTTCTTTATTTAGGGATTCCTAATTAAAAACTTGTAATATATAATTTAAACTTGAAATATTAATTAAGAGTATAAAAACAAATACTTTAAAAATATATTGTTTTATAAGAATATATCCAAAAATAAAGTTACAAATAATGTAAAGACTTACATAAAAATTAACCAATGAAAAAATAAAATCTTTTTTATTTAATTTTGATGAGAAGATTATTTTTTTAAAGTACATATATTTGATTTATATATATTATATATAGTTTGTATGGAAAAAAGGTAATGATTGATTTTTTAAAATTTTAATACCCAATTAAATAAAAAAAAGAACATAAATTGATGGAAAAATCAAAGAAAGAAAAAAAGAGTAGTGCATAAGCTAGGATTAAAATTTTTATTTTAAAATTTCAAGGATTACAATGAAATAATTTAAAAATTACAAAAAAAAGCTAAGAAAAAAAGAAAAAAGCTAAGAGTGAAAATTAAAAAAAAAAAAAACACCTAAGAGTGAATAGCATATCGTGAAGATAAAAAAAAAAAAGGAAAAAAGGAGTGAACGGTATAAAAAAAAGTTTAGGATGGTAAACTTTATTTAGTTTTAGTATAGTAAGGATAAAATCAAACATAATAAAAATTTAATGACTAAAATAAAAACATATCGTAAAATAGAATTAAAAAAACATAAATTTTTACTAAAAGTCAAGAAAAAATATTTATTATAAGGATAAAAATCAAATATAATAAAATTTTAATATTTATTATAGGGACAAAAATCAAATATAATAAATTTTTAATGACCAAAATAAAAAAAATATTACAAAATGGGGATGAAAAAAATTCTCTAAAAGCTTGGCTAAGCAGACCTGTGAAAAAAAAAAACGAGCAACAGGGAAAAACACCGTTCATTTAAGAATTAAAGAGTGAAAAGAAAAGTGATTGCACAATGAAATGGCTTATGTTTTTGGAGTATTTTAAAGTATTATATATATATATATATATATATATTAGAAGGGGGAAAAAAAAAGAAAAAGACCAGGTAAGCCTTGGCTGCTGAGTTCAACCTAAAATGCTGCTGGGTTAAAAAAAAAAAAAAAAAAAAAAAAGCGGAAAACACTGTTAATTAGACAGTAAAAAGAACAGTAAAAATGCTTCCTGTTTTAGAGTATTAATAATTTTTTTGGGTACAACGATTCTGTTACCTAGCTAACGCAGAGGCACTTGGCTTCATTGCCTGATTAAATTATTGATTTTTAATTATGTTGGATACAATTATCAATTATGCTTTTCTGGCAATAGAACTTCGGTTGCTGATGTCTCGGGTGGGGTTGGTTCACAAGCAATAACACTACACACTTGCTAGAATATTTCTTACCCTGCACCACCTATTTATGGTGAGACTTGAGAGAGCTTGCCAAAATTTTTAATGGAATGTACAGCCTGTAGGGCACAGCCAGGACTTGAATTTTAATGGAATGCAGACCTTACTAGTATGACAAATCTGCACGGAAAAACTGAGAACTCATCTACATTTTGCACTGGCTTGCAAATGAAACGAGACTGGATATTAATGCAAACGGTACAGAGCGAACATTACAATGGGACTAATTAATTGCTATCACAATTTTGGTTGTGGCGTCATTAACTTCTTGTAATCACAATTACAGTAAAATGGAGGCACTCAAAGCTTTTACTTGCAACCATAAAAAAAGAGGCATGCCACAAGCACAGCTGCTCCTGTTAGGGATGGCAATAGGGCGGGATGGGGACAGGGATGGAGCCCCGCCCCGGTCCTGAAAATTTTGCCTTATCCCCGTCCCAAACGAAGGCGGTGATCCCCAAGAGGTATTAGTAGGGCAAACAGAGTAAAAAAATTATTAATTTTTTTTCCTCTCGTTTTATCCTATTTTATTATCAAATTTCAAACTTCAAAAAAAAAAAAAAAAAAATTCATATAGAAAATAAACCCTAAAAATCATCAGTCACAAATTCTATATAGTGTATAATTATAATTTTAGGGATGAAAATCATGAAATGAGACAACCGGAGCAGAGTAGGGCTCCACCAGGGTAGAGCAAATTGCCATCCCTAGCCCCTATTGTCCATGATGCCCGACAGAAACTATTCATTCTTCTTCTTAGAGGCACTTTGAAACCGTTGTGCTTGATGAAGCTTTAATTGAGAATTGCTTCTGGAAACAGGCACTTCTGTCTAGTTATATGAATGATTCCATTGCAGACCTTCAGAATTCAATTACTTCTGGGGAGATGGCCATCCTGACCATTTCGATTATCGTCTTGGCTGGGAAGCGAGATACAATTCTGCAACCCCTGTGGAAGAAACGGAATTCATATCACCCAAGAAACATCCTAATTCTGCTCCAGGCTTACTATATTGATAACTTGCTTAAAAGCCGACTTAATGAAGAATCTCTCTTTCCAAGTGCAAATTTTCTACAGATGGGTCTGCAAGCAAAAACTGTTCTTGCACATAACCACATCCAATCCATGATATGATTCCTGATGCAAAACCATGAACGGCAACAACCGAGTTATCAACTTGATGTAACATTAAGAATTGAGGAGCAACACTGGAGGATCTTTGAATCCAAAATGGTAAATCATATTCGTCTTAAAAATTTTTGAAATGAAATATTAATGACATTGCTAGACCATTTATAGTAAATCATTATAACACCAAACCCCTTCTCATTTCATGCCATTGTTATTATAGAGACAACGCAAGCCAACTACCCAGCCATCAAACCATATAAATTAGCAAAGAAAAACCAAATAAATTGCCCACAACACCAAATTCATGCGTAAATTTTACAGGTGGTTGAGTATCAACCAGTCCGTATTCTTTCCAACCTGTCAACACTTTTCCGTGCTCTTTCCAATTGGTGGTCAATGCTTTTCCGGGATTTTTCATGGCAGTCAACACTCCTCCGAGATCTTTCCATTTGATCAAAGGAGATCCTTAACTTTTCTAGCTTATCAGCATTATTTGACAGATTTTTAAGTTTTTCTAGCTTGTCGGCATGATTAGATTGAGTTTTTGGTTTCTCGAGCCTGTCGGTACTATGTCTTGGTTTCTCTCTTCGATCTGTACTTTTCCTGGAAACCTCAAATACATCAGTACTCTTCCGAGACTGCTCGAACTGGTCTGTACTTCTCCTAGAACTGTATCTTTGAGAAGGAGATTTCTCAACAGTTGATATGAACTTCTTCAGATGCCTGATATACTCTGGATAGTGCTCTAAATCACAATGGTTCCCTCCTTTAAGCCAAAGTGGTTCGTACTTTTCTTTACACAATTCCCACAATTGCTTACCATGGGAGCAATCGACAACTTCATCTGAAGTTCCCTACAAATAAAATTAAAGGATCAAAATATGAAGGTAATTAAGAATAGTAGATACCAACTCAATTAACTTTTCAAGGGCATCTTGCATTCAGATGGTGGAATGCATACATTTAAAAAAAAGAAAAGAATGAAGCCTCACGAAAACTTTGTAGCATCTAAATGTTGAAGAACATGAAAGAAGAAAAAATTAAGGGATCAACATCTCATTCAACAACATCATGCACTGTGATTATTCCAAACAGGAAAAAAGAGAAGAAAAAAAAAAAAAAGGGAAATCAAAGGAATGCACTCTGAAAATTTCACAATTTAGTAGACAGTTATGTAGTACAAAATGCTTTTTTTTTTTTTTTTTCTTTTCTAGTTTAGGTTGAAGGTAAATATTTTTACTATTTTCTCCATTACATAATGCAATAGTTAAATCTTAGAGCATCCATGGCATAGCAAATACTTCAAATTTAATTATTGCACAAGACAAAATTTGCTTGAGCTGTATATGCCAGCACCTCAAGGGCAGTGAAATATAGAAAACTCAGAGATGTCAGCAGTCAGCACGCAGCACCATCCCTATGAGTACAAGATAGAAGGCTCAGGAATCCATCCATGGGGTCCATATACCTTACCTCTTCCAACTACAGAGCTAAATACTCTAAATACTATAATGTTTTAACATTTTGTTTTACCTTCTCTTTTTTACAGGGCAACCTGATCCCACAGTTTGCCAAATGAAATTTCAATCCTTCTGAAGCTTAGATAAATGATTAAAGTATAATATAAAAGAAATTATCCCACTCTTATTCTTCCTTCCATTTATGGGAAAACATTTGGGGGGTCTTCATTGTAATAGTTCAGTTAAGATTCTTGAAAGACCATAATTCATTTTACTTTGTCTGGATTTCCAATCTTTAAAATTAGTAAGTTAAGAAGTCACATACATGACAGCCATATTCTTGTTTGAATATGAGACACCTGCATTGACCATAAGACCAATACAGAGCCAAATGTGTCAGATTTACTTGACAAGACTTGTACTACCAAATAAGAGGAAATCACAAACCCCTATCATTGATTATCCATGAGATACCAGAAGATAATCCCTTTGTCATTTATGCAGGGACTATCACAGTACACTTCTCTAGAAAAACTCTTTTTATATATATATATATATATAAACAAATTAATCTAAAGACAGCCTACAAGATGAGCAGTATTGAGATATCTTTAGGCGAACAATTAAGTTTGTAATACCTGGTTGGAGGGACATAGAGAGAGACATGCACAGATACATAGATTGACCCATAAACAAAGTCTTGCAGTGAAACATGAAGAAGGTTGTGAATTGACAAACAGACCTAGATGCATTAAAAGTGCCAGAAAGTTTAATGTACACTCTGCGTTAAATGAAATTTCTCGATACTTTGAACAACTCAAAGTGACGTTTTCTAACTATACAGGGAGCATTTTAAATTCATCCGAAAGCAACAAAAAGCTGTAAATGAGATGACAATAAGCACATAAAGAAGGAAGCAAACCAAATAATTCCAACACCAATTATACTGTGACACGAACATCTAAACAAATTCGGCTATGCTTTTCACAAAATATGTAATTATAAAGAACAAAAGAATGCTTTATATGCTCTTCAAATTGCATTGCAATAGTATACTTACATGCATGATAAGAACAGGACAATTAACTAGTGGAATTTTGTCAATATTCTGCAAAAAAGAAAACAACACAGAACAATCCCATCATGTTATAGAAATTATAAACTCATCACTTGAGCAATTGGTTAGGACAAGAGTGTTGATAAACGTATGTTACCTTATAAATGTCAAACCAGTATGTACGCTTAACAGGATACATGACTCTTAACCCTGAGAGTATGGGACTATGCAGAACAACAGCCCGTAACTGAGGAAGTCGAGCAGCAAGATCCAATGTGGGGCCACTTCCAACAGACTGCCCATAAAGGATTATGTCTTCCTGCTTAGTACCATAGCTTTCTTCTAGACACTTATATGCAGCTTCAATATCTGCATATGTATTCTGCTCACTTGGCTGCAATGCAGGAAATGGGCTTCAATATCTTCATAAAACATGTATTTTTTTTCTGGGATTAATTATTAAGAAGTTAAATTATTCATCAAACCTTTCCGGACGATTGCCCATACCCAGAATAGTCATACCTGAGAAGATTAAAAAGGGAATGAGAATACTGAACAATGAACATGATTCCAATGAGAAAGATGCAAAATCACAAACCATGTCTCAGAGCTGTATCTCAACAACACTGATTTACAGAATAAAAAACAAGTCAAAACTCATTTATGCAACGACAGCAAATAGTACTTGGCAAGGGCACGGCTAGTAGCTTGAGATTCTTATCACAATCTACAAATCAACCAGCAAATAAAGCCTAGCATGTCCCTTGGTTCTTTCCAATTGATTTTTTTGAGCAACAGTCATAGAGAAAAGGCTTCCAATTCAGTAGGATTGTCATGATCAAGATACATCATCAATAGTGCAAAGATGGAAGCAATCCACAAGCTTTATATCAAAGATTTAGGAGCAAATATGGCAAGCATCCCATCTTGATTGCACCAATACTACAAATATGGAGAGAATCTATAGTTTATGAACTGAAAATTACCAAATTTTCTTGTCAACTACTACAACAAGTAAAAGTAAAACAATCGGAGCAGATGGGTAGAGGGCATTAAGCTTAAAACGAAGAAGGTGAAGATGGGACAATTGAGATATTATAAATAGTAAGTAGCAGTACCCCATGAGATTGACCCTCAAGTGGATGCTCAACTCAATGAAGAGCTCATACATCTGACCCAGATCGGCAGCATTTCCATGGGAGTAAAGCAAAGTAGAAGTAGCCAAAGGATGCCTTATATAGATAGCCACTATATCTGTACCTTTCCTCGTCGACAATTTCAAGATTTCAACATTTTCACGGTGAGGAAATGGGCTGAGTAACAATAGACCAGTTAATTCATCGGTTATTAGCTTGTACGATGGTGGGTTTGGAGGAAAGAAAGCAAATTTTGCTGCCATTGATGATGTTACCCCTCCCATCTCTCTCTCTCTCTCGCTCTTTCTCACTTTCTTTCTTTTATTACTAGTAGCGTTTTAGACCAAAAAAGGAAAACCATTCTATCATTTGTATTTCCAGAATGGAGCTTTTTTGGTGTCTTTTTTTAGGGGCTAAATCGAAATGGTAGTGCAAGGAGAAGGGGGTGGGCTTAAGATGTGGGAAGGGAGTGGGGATCGAAGAATTGAAGCTTAAAAAATTATTTGGTGTAGGGTCAAATTGGAGTGGACAAGGAGTTTTGATGGCATTGGTGCCTAACAACAACCCATGTGGATAAAGTTGATTGTGATTTTTGGGATTGAAGATACATCAAAAAATCAAACCATTTGGATTTGTAGTTTTGGTTCCATTCTCTTGACGTTTTATATTATTCCATAGTTTAATACCCCTAATAAGGTTTAAGCAACAAACTTTGTTTGACTTCCCACTAACTGGTTTCTGAATTACCCATCAATCGTTTCTTTTCCTTTTGATGTAGAGAAAAAAAACTATTTAATTTGTGGATTACATTGATGCTTCAGATTCAAGTTACAAACTTTAATGTTTGTCATGCATCCTTGTTGCTTAGATTGGTGGATACAATTTTCACTTTACTAGTAAGCTACTCTGTAGCCAAATATAAAATTGAGACTTCGAGGGTTGATATTGAACTCAATATTTGATTTTCTACTCAAATGTAACTTCAGACAAATATTAACTGTAGCTTTCTTGTCCGGAAAAGACTGCACAGTGCACAATATTAAGAATTTAGGATGGGATTCTTTCCACATAGGATTCTTTTAGAATAACTATGAGCCACTCGGCTTCATACGTTGGATCAAGAGTTAGCAGGTTGTTTTGAGCTGCCGCTTCAGTTCGAAGGTGAAATTTAAGCCCAGAAGAACCGAGCCATCTGGTTTAAGCTGAGGACAACTTTAGTTATTTCTTATACTACAATTCAATGCTTGATTAATTAGTTTCAGTAGGGAATGGATTATAATGAACTTAAAACTAATAGACCTTCCAAGTAATTATAGTGTTGGTAAACAAGTGTTTAGATGCATTTATAAACGCCAAGAAAGCTCTTTAAAACTTCTCAATCCCAGAAAGCTCTTACACTGGATCATTTAAATGAAATAGGTATAAAACGTCATTCGGAATCAAAAGCCCATGTAATGCAATGATGGTTAATGGTGCATTTTAGATTTTTCCTCGCATGGTAAAAACAGGAGCCATGGAGAAAAGAGGCAGTGGGAAAGATCCAAATGTCATTGTCTCGAAGACCTTTTCTGCTTAACCGAGGACATCAAGAATTAAGAGGAACTTTACAATGTATCTTGTGATCGCCACTCAATGTGCCCTGCACGTGCACCCTCTTTGGTCTTAGCATCCCTTGAGGCTTGAACCAGTATCAAAAGTTGCCTCCCTAAGAAAGGTGGCAAGGCACTTTAACCCTAGGTTAAAGTACAATTTCCATAAACAACAAACTAAACGCTGCAAGTTGTTGTAAATCCACAGTACCCTTTGTGGGTCTCTATAACCCCAACCATACCTAACTTGATTTGATATGATTTCAAACTCATGATGAGCTAAGCAATCAAATCTCCTGTTTTTCTAACATCCCTACCCAACCATTGAGAAAAAGTTCATGGAATATCTTTAAAAGGAGATTAGATTGCTAATATTACGTGATTGCTAGTCAAAACTAATCATAATGATTTTCATTTCATCCGACCCTGCCCCCCATTTACACCTGCAGCTATCAGTCACAACCCACAACTAATAAACTCAAATTTCAGTACTAAGTTTGCGCAAACAAGGTCACAAGACAAGCCATAATCTTGATTAGAAACCAATATTGATTAGAAGGGCATTGAGACATGCAGCAAATGCAGAATAAAAGATCACTGCCAAAATAGGGTCTATAATATGAAGCAAAGGAAAGAGAGAGAAAGTGGTGGGTCTCGCTTATCTTGACTCTTATCTTCTTATGGTTGAGATAGGATGATAGACAGGCTGAAAGAGGGGGTAAAAAAAATCCTCAAATACATATTGCAGAGTCAAATTCCTATTATGCATTATTGTGTTGGATTTCAGAAATAATGCATCATCAGAAAGCAATAGTATCACGTGTGTTTAATATAGCAGTTCAGGTTTATGTTCCAAAAACATTCAACAACCCTAGATGCCATGCTCTAACACAGGACAGAACAATACAAATTTCTATATTTCTCTGCCAAGTTTGGATCATATGACAGGAGCACCCCCAAAAATTTTTTTGAGTAGCATGGCTAGTGTTCTGCGGGTCACCCTAAGCTGTGTAATTTGACTATTGACAATAATTAGCAGGCTGTCTCCTTCACCAAGGACAGTGGGTCTCACGAGCAAAAATTATAGAAGAAAGCAAGAAAGAAACACAGACAGAATAATGAATGCCGAAACGAAAGACCTGGGTGAGGCTGAATGAAACATTTGTATCATCTTCACCCATTCTTGAGTCCTGACTAGCAAAATATAAGTTCAAAAAACTAAATCTTTAAGGTATAGCTCATGGATCATAAAGTTCATTTCTAAGTACCATATCCTCTTTGAACTCACTCCAGCCAATCATGTATGTTTCACCTGTCTCTTGATCTGTCTTATGTTCTAAAAAAGTGCCATTCCATATTTCTATATCAAAACTACACATGTTCAGTTAAAGCAGGTAGTTACACATGCATGAACATTTCTAAAACTATTAATAGCTATGAATTCATAAAATGAGATCTAAATTTTGCAAAGACTATGTCAGGAATTACTACGACAAAAAACTTAGTGGATAATGTAATCACTATCAAATTGACAAACTTGTTTTCATAAAGAACAAACAACGGGTAGCATCCTTCGAGCAATTAATTATCTAATCTATTACCATAAAATCCCAAAAATTGGTTAATGCTATAAAAACATTTACCACACAAGGCAAGCTTAAGTTCATACTTCAACATGACAGGCTTATAATTTGCAAATATTCTAAAGCTAGATGATTACAAATTACAATTCCAGATTCTAAGGCTAAACCTGTGCCTAGACCAACAATATTCTTGGCGCCATTCATCAAACTTTACTTGATAACTCTTGCGGTGATAGTTCTTCCCTTTTAGCATTGAATCTTCCTGTACAAGCTCTATTTTCTCAACAAGTCTCAGTCTAATGTTTCACAGCCTCCCTTTCCCAAACACAGACACCAACCCAAAAGCAGAAATTTTGAACTGAAGTGCAATTGTAATTTTTTAGGTCACCTACCACCATCAACTAACTGTCACCTCAGCATATATTTGGTATTTCTACAAGGTTAACACAAGTAATATTGAAATATCTTGTTATTATTACAGCTCCATTAGAACAGAATTACACAAGGTCCAACTAAATGGTTTCTGATTACCAATAGCCTAATGGATAAATGTATTGCAGTTCAGAACCTCTTTATTCTTATTGTTGCTAATATAACCTCAGTATATATTTCTACTTAATAAAGCAAATGTGATATGGAGCTAGCATGCTATTACGCTCCACACCTAAGCATGGGATATACAAGGTCCAACCAGAAGATTTCACATCCCACTGTTGATAGCCAAATAACAGAGGTTTTGTTCTCCATATGATATCTTGTTTTTTATGACTGCTGACAAAGTTTCAAAACCGAACAAACTAAGAAAAATTTGTAATTGTTTTGGAAAAAAACCCTTCATTTAGAAGAACTACAAACAGTTTGCTTGAGAATGAAAAGGGGATTGGAAAAAAAAAAATCTCAAAATAGAAGACTCCATAAAGCTGCAGATAAAGCAAAGACTTCGAAGCTTCCCTAAAGAAAAAAAAAAGAAAAAGAAAGATTCAACTTCAAGGCACGAATAACATAATCTCTTACCTACAAGGTTTGAACTCCATGAATGCAGCTATATCTATTACCACAAAAAAGAGTAACCCAAACATAGTTCACATTGCAAGTGCCCTAGTCTATGCTTCTAAACACTTTCATCAACTGGTAGAAATGGGTTCAGTCATGGAATTACACAGTTTAGTCTGCTGTTGAAAAATAAAACATTTCTACTTCTTTTATGACATAAATAAGATAGGGAATACCTAAACTCCAAAAACAATGCCCCAAACCGAGTTGATTGCCATAACTTACTTTAAGGTTTCCAGTAACATAATTCCAAGGAGAGTAGAACTAATCTCTCTAATATGCAGTAATGGTCCCTAAAAATGGGTGTTCTGGGAGAGAATTTGTATGCAATCCTATCGTTTGGAATTTGGTGTAAAATGTTTGTTATCAAGGTTCAGACCTACGCACTTATGGTTGGAAATCTAAGTCTTTTAATAGTGCACCATGCAATGGTCCCAAGAACTTCGACTCAGAGAGGGGGTGTGGAGCGGAGTGAGGGAGATGCACAAGATATCCTTGAACTAACATCTAACTAATTTCACTCCCTTCTCAATCCTGAAGACGCAACTTGGATATCAAGAAAATACACAGAAAACACACAATAAATAGGCCAGAGACCAGTGAATGATAGAAACATACATTTTCAGAAGCAACCATCACCTCAGTATATGCCTGCTACTTCTACACAGTACACATGTGATATAGGGATATCTTACTACTTCAGCTCCACTACCTTTGAAGTATAAAAGGTCCAATCAGAAGATTTTCTATTCTGTTATGAATAGCCAAACATATATATGTTTTTCCATCCAGAACATATCTCGTTTTTATTATTGCTGCCACAACCTGATAACTAAACAAACAAGGAAAACCTTATAATTTGCATAAGGAACTCAATGTTGTATTATAAGAATAGCTCCAACAGCTCTATCACCTTAGTATTGTATGTAACTTCTCAACAATACAAACCAGTAGTATAGAGATATCTTATTATTCCAGATGTACAATTAGGTTTGAGATATAAATGGTCCAACCAAAAGATTTCCCTATTTTGTTACCCAAAGCCAAATTAACATATGT